ACAACAACAACAGGTGCATTATCAATAAAGTCTTAGAGCTAGCAGGTTTATCTAAAACTTGGATGAAATACTGACAAGAGAAGAGAAAAGAGATACTCTTATACTGAAAACTGTGAATAACTTTTGAACCATCATCAAAGCATAAATTTTGATACGCTTCTCTGATAAGGAACTGAAAGATCAGAGAACTGAAACTGCATTATATCCTGAGAGATGAACAAAGTGTAAATAATTGGCCAGTATTGCATGAAATACTAACAGAAACCTTAAACATAAAAACCTTCCTTTCACACTCTCCTGGAGATTATTTTAACCCTTTTATGAACAAAAGTAATACCTGAATATTTGTTCTACAGTATAATTTTTCAGAATTATTGTTACATATTTATCTGAAGAAATAAATCATTGAAGCTAATTTTCTTTTCTATATCTCCAAAGTAGCAGATGATTTCAGATGTCACCAACAAAAGTGATTTGACTTCTGAAGAATGAAATGCAAGTTGCAAGTGATGCACAAATATAAGATTTACAGTTTTCCATAAGTTACTGAAAGAGGCATAAAGCTCATGAATGGCAAATGCTTTTCTTTTTTTTTTCCACTGGTCAGTAGTCTTGGTTATAGAAATGAAGTACTGAAATACTTACATTTAAATATCATATAAAATATAATCCAGAACTTGATTAAAGTCCACACATTCTTCTGCTATCCGTTTCTAGATAATTCAAGTTAAATGACTCTGCATATAGTCTTTTTTAATTATTATTATTAATTTCAATGAAAATTTACAAAGACTTTGGATTTCCATTCATTCATTATTGCACTTTTCTCTCCTCCCAACCCTCCCCCCCAGTACACTACCCTCTTGGAAAAGTAAAAGAAAAATTCTCTCATTGTTATACAATCCCTCCCCCAGGTCGACTCCACTATGCAGCCTTCGCTCTGGCCTCCTGTCATGACAAAAATACCTAATCACATATCCCTTTTAAACAGTTTTCTCCCTCATCTGTTTCAATAAGACTCTACATATAGTCTTCATTCAACATATAGGGTAGGGAGGAAAAAAAATCTTCAACCATCAAAGTGCAAACATGGCACTGAATATTTTCTGAGCAAGTTTTTCAAGCCAGAACAGATGACATTCCACACCATTGATCCCAAACCACCTTGGAATTCACCACCACCAATGGCAAAGGAAGACTCCAGCCCCTCTGGCCTTGCAGACTGAATTGTTTCACCTGCCAGGCTTTGAGTTATAAGTTCTCTTCAGTCAGGCCTAATAGTTAATTCGTGTATACTTAGAAGGTTACAGGGATTTTTTACATAATCTTAGCGTAGCCTAATTACCTAGCTAACAACAACAAACTATGTAGAGATACCAGAAACTCTGGCATTGATTTTATTTACAAAGAACAAAGAAAATGAGAGCACATCAGCAAGCCCCTAAGACCAACTTCCCACATATTTTCTCATTGTGTGTCTCTCTCTTCAAAAAGAAAAGAAAATGTTTTATACTGGTCTGCTTACAAAGTTCGTACACCTTGTTTTTCACACTGGATATTTCCAATTTCTTTCACCCACCCTTCCCTCTACCCATCACACTGTGTGACCCAGAGATTATCCTCCTGCCCATTCTCCCCCCTCTTCTTCACCCCCTCCCCTTTTAATAAAAGTGGAAGTCTTTCGCTTTTTGGGAGTACTGGCTGTTTTATTGTGTTTTACAACATCTACAACAAAGAAACTTTTAATTGGGGTCATTAATTTGCACCATGGCGGAGCAGCTAAATTACCCAGGCAGCATCTGGTGCGCGCACCAAGCCTCGCGTCCTACCTTGGGGGCTTTGGCGTGCTTCCCGCATCTGGCATCCTTGACAAGGCTGAGATCCAACAGCTCTGTTTCCTAGAAGACAAGAAAGTGACATCATCAGGGTCCCGTTCCAACCTCTGTCTTGGTTTAATGTCCTAGACATCAGTTTTGAAAACATAACATTATCTTAGGACCTGCCTAAAGGTTTGACTTTGGAATTAGGATCATTTTTCATCTTGTAGCATTTAGCCACTGAGTCGTGAAGAAAGTGAGAGACAATTCTTACAGTACTACACGTTCTAGCAAATTCTGGAAAGATGTCCATGGGTTGAATGCTAAGTTTATCTTACAAACCATCCCAGCCCCACAGTGTGTGTAATCCTGAGAGCTATTCAGTCTGAGGGCTTGGGTACAGGCGCAGGGCTGGGGAATTTAGGAGGTGAGATGGAAGATATTTCCACTCATTTACACACATCACAGTCTCATCTTGTCAAAGAAGAGATATCTCTGCATCCCTTGTCCATCTATCTTTGTCCACTCATGTCTCCACATTGATCATTGTGTATTCAGAATTCATTATTAACCATTATCCTAGGACTCAAGATGCACACGGGATGATCTCTCTTCTTGCCTGCCATCAAGTAAGAACAGAAGTTAAAAAAAAAAAAGTATGCAAGGAAAAGGAAAGCCCATTAGTGTCCAATTTAGGGTTTATTGCTATCGAAGATCAGCAGAGAAAAAAAAAGAGTTATTTCCTTAGGGGTTCATGGAGGAGTCACTGCGAGTGGAGGCGAGGGAGACCACGCAGGCTCTCTCAGTCAGAAAGTACAATGAGAGCAAATACCCAGGCAGGAAGGTGTCACAGGTTTGGGTAAAACCCGTTAGTCTCTGAAGTGCCTGTGGACACTTGTTGTTGTTGTTGTTGTTGTTGTTGTTGTGCGCTGTCGAGTCGCCTGCAACTCATAGCGACCCTATGTGGATGCTTAGAGAACAAAAAATCTTCACTGAAAAGGTGAAACAGGGAGTGGAGGGGTACTTTAGGAGGGGTGAATGGCTGAACATCTCCACATGAACAATCACCACCTGTCTGTTAAAAAAGGAGTATCTGGAATTGAAGAAGATCAATATAGAATATGAGAACTTAGTGGAAAGGTTAATGTTATTGGGAGATCTGGTGGCCCAGGGATAACGAGCTGCACTGCCAATGCAAAGGCACAGGGTTTGAATCCACTGGTGCTCCACGAAATACAATAGTCAATCTCCTCCCATGTGATTTACTGTCTCAGAAAACCTGATAGAGGGTCACCATGAGCCAGTTCCTACTCTATGGTCCACAACAACAACAATAACAACAATAAAGGCATAACAACAGCAGTCCTGGCAATAAAGGTGGAAGCCGAGGAAAGAGAACATGAGGCATCACTGACTGAAGGCCAGAGAGGAGCAATAAGAGCCCTGCGACTCTAAGTTTGGGGAAGAATTATAGCTCATTTTGTAATTGTTGTTTTGAGGCATTTACTCAAGTATAAATGCTAAACATAAATTCGTGTGCCATTATTTATCCTATGTAATGTTGTGTCAGAAACAATGAGGTTGGCTCAAGATAGAGAAGGGCTCAGAGCTGTCACACATAGGGTCGCTGTGAGTCACAAGTGACTTAATGGCACATAACAACAACAACAACTACTACCATTTATTGGCTAGGACATTGGCCAGATTCTGATGTAGCTATTGTTTATAAGGTCACTAACAACAAGGTTTCACATACAGGTTAGGATTTAACAACAGAGAGACAAGGGGCAGGGAATTGAGGCCTACAAAGGCAGGTGGTTTAAATTCACCAGCTGCACTGAGGGAGAAAGACGGGCAATCTCCTCCAGTGTGATTTACAGTCACTGAAGACCCCCTGAAGGGTCAGCTAGGAGTGGATTCTGACTCCGTGGCAATGACTCGAGGCACTCACAAAGAAAAACCATTATGCTCTGAAACCTTTAAAATGTACAATTCCAGTTCGTCCGTCATCTACCAAAGGCTGCTATTTTTTTTTTTGAGCCAACTCAAGAGAATATAAAAGATCAGCAGCTTTCTAACAAGGAAGGAGAGTCTTAGGACTAGACAAGAGCAGGTGCAAACACACAGTGGTCAGTGATGACTAGGAAACGTCAAGTCACCCCCAGCACCCAACACTGGACGTGAACAAGGGCCATGACATCCTTCTAATTCACTGGTCACCTCAGGGGAGCCATCTTTGTAAGTATTCATAAAACTGCCAACACGTGCATTAAATGTGCCTTTCTCCAAATGCTGCATGAAGTTTACTGTGCACTTATACATACAATAAAAATCTCACACAGTCAGCTTCCTCAATCTTGTGTCTATTGTCTACTCTAGAAAACTTGTCCCAGTTGAACAAACAATACATTTCACACGTGCCTTGCTCAGTTATACACACAAAGCCCCAAACAGCGTTCACAGAGAACTAATCCTTCCCCAGGCATCATTATGAAGACTTTAGAGATAATGAACACTATTTTCTACTTCAGCTCAAGAGGAAACGTTCATTCTTGGAGCCGCACAGGGACACTTAATACCAGCTGCCCGAGGGAGCCATTCCAATACCACAGTGACAGCGACACTTCTCTCGCTCACGTGTAAAATTGTGTGCAGGCCGAAGCCCACCACGGGGTCCTATAAGTGTGGCTAATGTGGCGTGGGAAACACACAGGTGGAAAAGCTGTCCAAAGGGGCCTTCTGCGAAAGAGAGATGATTAAAACAGTGTCTTCGAGTTCCATTAACATGTAACAGCCACCCCTCAGGGGCTGAACAACATCCTAATCTCCTCCAGTAAAATGGAAATAAGGAATCCAACACAGGATGGAAGGGCGAGTGGCGATAAAGAAATGTTGCTTGTGACATTAAAACTTTTTTCTAGGTTAATTTCCTGGCGTTAATGGTTTCAACAACTCGCTCTCCTTATTAGAGCAGCCAAATGGTCTCTTCTGCAATTTGCTCAGGAGTTAACGTGTTCCAACTCTGTAATTTCATTATTCCTTCGCCCCTTTCTTTAAGATGGGTGGGTGAGGTGAGCTGTAAGTCAAAAGCGAGCATTTGAGTAAGCCTCTTGATTTAACTAGCAATGTAATTCAATCTTTTTACGACTGAGCTATCAATTTTATCATGTATAAAATGAATGTGATGATGCCTTCTGTACCTGATTTAACTTGCGCCAGATTTACCTGAAGGACTGCTAAACATCAATTGGCTGGCCCCACCAGTCAGGGTTTTTCCACTCAGCAAGTCTACCTAAGTCCCAAGAATCTGCATCTCTATTACATTTCCATTATGCCCATGGTGCTGGTCCCTGCTTTAAAAACCATTCCTATGCCTGCTTCACAGGGAGCTCTAGTGGTCTAGTGGAAAAAGAGCTGCACTCTTAACCTGAAGACACGTGGTTTGAATCCACCAGTTGTTCTGTGGGAGAAAGAAGGACAATCTCTTCCTGTGTGATTTACTGCCTCTGAGAACCCACTGGAGGGTCAGCTGTGGATTGGGTCTGACTCCACAGCACACAACTATGTTTACCTCATGTAGTAGTTGTTGTGTGCTGTCAAGTCGCCTGTGACTCATAGTGACCCTATATAATAGCTCTGAACCACGTCCAATTTTGAGCCAATCTCATTGTCTTCAACACACCTACCTCCCCACCTCCCCATTAATCTAGTCACTGAATTAATCTATTCCATACAGGGTCTTCCTCTCCTGCACTGTCCATCTACCCTTCCAAACATGAAGTCCTTCTCCAAGGACTGGTCCCTCCTGGCAACATTCTGGAGTGTGTGAGAAAGAGCATCAAAATCCTTGCCTCCAAGGAGAAACTTGGTTTCACCCTCGCCAACACAGATTTGTTAGTTCTCCCAGCAGTACATGGTATATTCAATACTCGTCTCCAGCACCTCAATTCAAAGGTGTCGGTTCTTCTATCATCCTTAGTCATCATTCAGCTCACTGATGCCTAGCAAGTAAATGCAAAGACCATGGCTTGGATCAGTTGCACCTTAGTCTACAGACTGACATCATTGTTCTTCTATCGGAGAGGGCCCTAACAGCAGGTTTCCCAGTGCATTTCATCTTTTTATTTTGTGGCTGCTGGAGTCAAGACGGTTGATTGTGGAACCATGTAAGCTGACATCATTAATCTCAATATCTTCTCCATCTATGCTGCTGCCGCCAATTGGACCAGTGGTGAGAACTGTTCTCTTGATATGGGGCTTCAATCCATTGAAGACTGTGGTCCTTAATCTTCTGCAGCAAATGCCTCAAGTCCTCCTCAGTTTCAACAAGCAAAGTTGTGTTATCTGCATAAACACAAGTTGTTGATGAGTCTTCCTCCAATCCCGATGCCAAATCCCTCCTCATAAAATCTAGCATCCCAAATGATCTATTCCACATATTGATTGAAATGGTACACAGAGATGATGCATTCCTGGTATACACTCTTCCTGATTTTGAACCATGCAGTTCAGAAACAGTTTCCTTGCTCTGTTCTGACGACTGCTTCCTGGTTCATGTATAGGTTTCACATAAGCACAATTAAGTATTCTGGTATTTCCATTCTTCTCAAGGTTAGCCCCAATTCGTTGTGATTTACACAGTCAAATGTCTTTGCATAATCAATGAAACAAGACAGTTATAAAGCTTTTCGATAAATATAACTTTAGAGCCATAAGTTACCACTATGGTGCTTTATTATATAGCATAACTCAGTAGAATCCACTGCCATCAAGTTGATTTCAGCTCATGGTGACCCTACCCTAGGTTTCTAAGATGATAAATCTTTACAGACGGGACTCTCAATCTTTCTCCTACAGAGTGTCAAGTGGATACCATTTAGTATAAATCTAAAGCTGACATTTCTTTAGAGAACTGTCAAAAAAGAAAACATTATACTCATTGTGTCATTATTTACCACAAAAAGAAACAAACTAGAGGGGAAAAGAGTTTCATGTATAACAAATAAAACCAACTTCATGGAGTCTAATTTCTTGGTTGGGAGGTTTAGGGTCATGAATAACTGGGACATTAAAAATAAATT